TTCATTCTAGAATGAACACAAATTATAACACGAAAACAAAAATGTTTAGACTAAATAGTTTAACTATCATAACATCAAAAATTACTACATCAGTACCACAAAATTCCACTATAATTTATCAAACTTAGTAACTAAGATGTATTTTAGTCTAAAAAAATATGAAATTTTGAGCAGACTAAAGACACACCCTACCTTGTTGAATTATTGGTTTAAAAGAAAGAAATGCTGTCCAAGCCTGTTAAAATGGCTGAGAAAGCCACTACGGGGGCATTCTGAGCTTCCGATTGGTTATTTATTTCATACATAAGTGTATATAAAGGAGCATTTTCTAAAATGGAAAGAGGTGGCATGGTGCCACTGTGTGTGATTTATTATATGAGCAATATCTTTTATTTTATATTCTAGCTTGTCAATATCGATAATTTGAGTTTCTAATTCGTACAAAACTATAGACTTAGTATTTTGACTTCACAAACATCTAATTTGAACCAGTGCTGCATTCTGCATACCACGTGACACACAAAAATTGATGTTTAACTGTATTTTTTGAATATTTACTTTTAAATTAAGAAATTGAGTAATATATAACACTAAAATTTGAATTATAACCTACAGTTTGATACCAAAGTTATTGACATAAATTCATGAAATAGTAGTTCAATAACATTTTGAATGTGAGTCAACAAACAAGATGACGTGGCCTTTCACCCATGACCCGTCTCGAAAGGGTTAATGTTATTACAGTACAAGCTGTGAAACTCACCTTAGAAACTGCTTGTTATGACTAAACTTTCACACAGTCTAACTTGCACTAACTTGGTTGCCTATGTATATATATATATATCTATTGTCTGACTGAGGCCTAGAACTTTCTATAAACTACTAGACGTTATGATGTTACAATACACACTTAAAACAATGATAGACATTTGAAGGTTCGAGTAACATGACGTCAATTCACAACAGTTGAACTACACAACAAATGATTCATAAACAGTTACTTAAGTTACCTGCGATAAAGTAGTGCTTCTAAAAATATTAAATTTAACACTCATGCTTTATAACTATCTAAAACATCACTATTGTATTAAAGTTATATGAAACAGTCATGTATATCTAACGAACATTAAAAGAAAAATTCTTAGAACTATCTCTAGTTCATTACTTTGCTTAAGTTTTACGACATACTCTTGTGAAGACATGAAACTTTATGTTACATCTTGTCTTATTCTGATAACCATTAGTCTGACAAAACATTATCTTTTAATTCATTTATTACATAAGTTTTATGAATATTTTGACATCAGTCTTCGATTGTTAGAGGTTTGAATGTCATTTGTAATGTAGGCCTACAACAATGTAAGACAGTGTGCAAATGTTCAAGCTTGAAGAAACATTAAAGGAGGAAATAAACTCATTTTTATAGTTTAAGTAGACAGGATTATTTTCACCTGATAAGAGCCTTTCAGTGAAAGAACAATGAAACAACAACATATCAAGCATGCAAAAATACACGTGTTTTGGAAAGAGACAAACTTCTATTTACAGAAATCTGCTTTAAGACATCAAACCTTCTTGTGTATGTAATAAAAGATTTTTTAAAAATTAACTTTAATCACTTAAGAAATATGGTTAATGATCTTCTACTAACAAAACACAAAATCAAGCTTTTTGTATTGTAATAAATGAATTAAAAGATAATGTTTTGTCAGACTAATGGTTATCAGAATAAGACAAGTTGTAACATAAAGTTCCATGTCTTCACAAGAGTATGTCGTAAAACTTATGTAATAAATGAATTAAAAGATAATGTTTTGTCAGACTAATGGTTATCAGAATAAGACAAGTTGTAACATAAAGTTCCATGTCTTCACAAGAGTATGTCCAAATTACTGGCACAAAGTAATCAATAGTTAACACACTGACCAATTTGGTCTACTATCTTTTTGAAAATCTCACTCCAATCTTCACAATTATCTTGTATTTATTATCTAGCTTCAAATGTATGAGAAAAACTCCAATGTCAAATCAGAATTTTCTTGACCTATTTTAATGGTGCCATTAAATCCTGTAGCTCCCTCTAGCTAACAAAATTAGAAATATAACGTACAACAATAATATTCTTTCAAATTGTTTGTGACACTGCATAATATTCAGTGATCAAAAACATTTGAATAACATGAGCTTAAATTTAATATGACATTAGTTAAATGTTTTTATTCTGGATGAAAGGTCATGGGCTGATGCTTTAAAAGTTTTCCTTATACCTTGCATTTTCAGGTGTTATTATGCTCTTTGTTTGTAATAATAGTAGCAGTTTGGGTTTGTATATCTCTCAAGCAAAAGTTATCTAGATATTGTAACCTAGTAAGTAACAAAATAACCAGATCCTTCTAAAATATTGTATTACAGTTTAGTGAGCAATAGATTGGACAAGATGTTACAAAATATAGTGTTACAATTTAATGGTACTGAACTACATAATTTTAACTAAACGTAATGTTAGAACTTAGTGAGCAATGAAGTAAGTCGGACATTACAAAACTTAGTGTAATAAGTAACACACAAAATAAGTTACAATGGTGCTGAATATGATATTACCCAAAGTACAGTATTAAAACTTAGTTCATAGGCTATTTTCATATTTTATTCATACTGGTTTTGCAATTAATTTCGAATTATAATTTGTATGAGAGCATTAATATCTACAGGTTTTGCATAAAATTTTTTGTTGGTTTTTTTTGTAGCCATTCCATGCTCCCAAGACAGCCCTGTGTCCATTTCGCCACAACTAGCCAGTGGTCATTTCCTTTATCCTTATGCACATGACAAGAGTTGTATGCAAGATGAACTTCCTCCCAGGGAACCAGTTCTAAGTGCAATGCCCAAAAAAAGTGCATTAAAAAAACGTAGCACTAATTCCACAGTATCTGCGTCTTGTACAAAAACTCCATCTTCACTGATGTCAGTGTCGTTCACGTCAGTCATCTCATCAGCATCAAGTTTGGTGTCACCACTATCTACTCAGAACAGGTATAATGAAATTAGTTATGTTAACGGGAATATCATAGCAATTTTTACAGTTCTTACATTGACAGTGATTTTGTCATGGTAACTGTCGTAGATAATGTGTCAGTCTATTGATATTAATCTTTTATTGTTTAACCCAAAGAGTACAATTACATCGTGACTTTATTTTAGCTTTCTTTCATGGTAAGGGAAGTTGTCAAATATGAAACTCAGGTGATGTTGACATTAGACCCATCCTTCTTATATTTATCCCTTGATAGTTAGATTAAAATAATCCATACAAGTGAAAAGAGATAATTTTCCCAATATAAATCACTAGTTAGGCTTCACTTGGAATATTGTGTATAGTTTGGGACTATTTAACTAAAAAAGGATAGTGGATTCTTGGAAAGGGTTCACATGAGAGTATGGGTTATGTTTTAGAGATGGATTAAGATCGTGAAACTTATCTTGAGAAAACAAGAAGTAGGACGAGATATTGTAGTTTAAAAAGTTATCCAAAAAGGAAGTTTGAATGTTATTACCTTTCACAGCATGATGAAAAGGAAGGTTTCAATATGATCTCATTATCTCTTACAGTATAGAATATAGATATTTCTTGGTAGAATGTCATGATCCCACACACCGTGACAGAAAGGAAGGTTTTAGTAGAATTTTATTACTCCTTAAAGCATGGAAGATAGGAATGTTTTAGTATAATGTCCTTTAACCCTTTCACTACATAATTAGATTCAGTCTCCAATCAATGTAAAGTGGCTAAACTACCCTGATAATCTTATCCTTTACTTGTTTAGGATTAAAGTAGCAAAGTTTCCCCCAGCCATGAAATTTCCTTTTACAAGTGACAACAAGGAGAACCAGCCCATTCCGATGCTATCGTTCAGTGGAATAGGGTTTAAGTACAACCTGGGAATAGATGAGAATCTTCTTTACTGGAGAGATTACTATGGTGATGATGAAGAAGGTAACTTATCTTTGTGTGACAGAGATAAAACTCCTTTAGTGGAGAAATGACAAGCATAGTGTAGCTTCTAGTAAATAGACAGGTTTGTGTGTAAACCTTAACTTTTCTTCTCAGCCGATGAGTATATTTTTAAAAATGTTGGAGAAGTGGTATTAAAAGCTATTTAGGCTACTCTCGAAATTCTTTAAAATTTACTATTGAACATATCCACCAAATTCTTTAGTTACTGATAAAGAGAATTAATGGATTTTATAATGAAATGGTGTGTTGATATAACACAAAATCTTTTACTGTTTCTTTACATCATAAGGTGATTAAAACTTATTGCAACATTTGCCCACCACAATTTACATTGTTTTTACTGAATATGGACAAGT